ATAAAGCTCTGTATCATTTCTGCCATTGACAGCAATTTTCTATTCTTGTCTACTTCAATAGAAAAAAATCCTGATATTTTAACATCTCTGTTTCGAGTATTTTAAGAAACTACAGAGTGTCTCAGATACGAAATATACTAGTAATGCAATACTGCTTTGATTGGTGCTAACTTTTGTTTCGTGTTATGCATGTATGTGTCGTATTTTTCTAACATCGCTGTTAATTAAAAAGCAAAAAATGACATCTCTTTGACTTTTCCCTTCCTACGACTATTATTTTTGTTATTTATTTTTCTAACTTATTCAGGGAGAAGGAAAACAGCAAACTCTGCTTTAATTGCTCTGTAGTAAAAGGAAACTACGATAATGTTAGGAAAAAACAATATACGGATACTTAAAATAATTTTCGTCTCTTAAGCTCTGTCTAACTAAAACGTAAAGCTTCTGCCGGTCAAGTTATATGTGAAGTAGTATCACGAAAATGTCAAGATTTTATTCACCCAAGGTAACCTAATTTTTAATTTTATGTTCTAAAGTATCTTATGATGTTAATTAAACAATTATTACGATGTAAGTCTTTGCTAAAACTTCTCCTTTTTTATGCCGTGCCAAAACGCAAATTAGGTTTCTGTGTATTTAAGCTAAGAATTTTGAATCTTTTTAGGACTTCTGATAACCGCGTCTTGTTATTGTAATCGCGAGTCCTACTTAAAAATTATATTTCGGTTTTAACATATCTCTATCTGATGTTTTAAAATGCACATCTGTAAAATATATGAGCCAGCTTACTTTGACCCATTCTATAAGCAGTTTTCGAGTATATTTATTATCAACGTTTGAATTTAACTATCTGTTAAAAGAATTTAAACATCCACAGCAGTAGTTTCATTTATAGCATAAATTTTGTCCCTTGTGCTACAGTTTGACCGTGGCTAAAGCAAACTTTGTTGGCATTCTGTTAAAACACTTAAAATCATCCAAAACGGATGCCGCAGTGTGAGCGAAGGGTCGCAGGAGAGGTACTATCGATGAATGAAAAGTCGTTGTTTCGTCTGTTTGTAATTCTCGCCTTTGTTTCATATTAGAAAAATTCGCGCACATAATCGAATTGATTTTGCAGTCGCAGAAACTAAAAATGGTGATATTTTTTTCATAACCTATGAATTTTGCGTAAATAGTGCATATTTCATTATTTACTTTTAAAAATGAGGTTATTAAAAATAATGGAATGCATTTTTAACTGAAATGTTCTTTTTTATTTAAAGAAAAATATAAACAGATTTCCACTGCATCCGAGCAGTATTTTCCCTGATAACAGTTGATTCAACGTGAAATTTGCCAATATTGTAACATTTTATACATGAATTGCTTTCGTTCTCTTTTCCTAAAATAAACTTATCTCTGCTTTTCCTTTTTCCGTAATCCAAATATGCAAATTATAACGTACATATTTTAGGGCAAAATTTTTTTTTTTTTAAACATAGAGAGAAATTAAAAAAAAAATAGTTAAAAATTTGAATAATATCATCTATAATTTAAAAAAAAAAGCTTTTCATATATTATTAATAAATATTTATTACGCATCATTGAGGGAAAAAATTTTATATAATTAATTCTCCGTAAAATTTTACTTGAAATTTAAGGTTAAAAATAGCTAGGGCAATTCACTGAAACAAAAATACATAGACCACATTTGGCATTATTATCGCTCAAAAAAAAGATGCCAAATTTCAAAACGCGAAAATATGTAAATTCGTGTATATCTTAGAAAATTCTGAATAAAAATGTCTAATTTTTTGCAGATATGATTAAAAATACACCTACTTTAAGATGATGATAAAAATTTTATAGGTTATAATTCAAAAATATTTTCGAAAAATTTATAAAAATTATTTAAAAATAGAAATTTAAAAAATAAAACACAAAAAATGGGTAAATTTTATTTGGAATGAAACTAAATTTCGAAATGTGAGAGAAAAAATCAAAAAAGTTTAATAAAAAAGAGATATTAATAAATATTTGCGAAATTCAATTAACATTGAGGAGCTAAAATTTTGAGAGCTTATATTTTAAAAACTACTCGTACGATTTTTATAAAACTTGGTATTCTGGTATAATTTGAGTCGTAGAATCGAAATATGGAAAAAAATTGGTATGTTATTTCAGAAAAAGTCCGATTTTGTGTCAAAATACCTATGTTAGAGTAGCGCTATATATATATCTAATATATATCCTAAGTCGCGCATTCGAGACATGAAAAACGCAGTTTGAATTTTGTCAATCGGCCCAGTAGAACAGGAGATATAGCACTGTCCCATTTTTTTTTTTTTTTTTTTTTGAGCAGTGTACATTAATTATTAACTACAGCACAATTATAATAATTATTTATTATCATAGAATTATTATAATAAATTATAGTAATTATTATATTAGAATTCAGCTACCCAGATGGTATAATGGCTAGAGGAGCCGACTGTGATACAAATGGCCCGGGTTCGAATCCCGGATAAGGCAGAGTTGTAAATGTCCGTCCCTTCATAGAAGGCAAAGGTTACCCACCTATTAGGGGCCTCCATAATAAAGTGACCATCACTTCTGTCCTTAGTAGTGGCCAAGCTGAAGCTGAAGTCTGAGAGGTCGCAATTGGTTAAAAAATATTAGAATTCATTACAATGGTAATGCCGATATTTGTAAAGCTAAGATTCTGGATTTGATTTATATTTTAATCTTTTTTAAGATTTATTTGTTGTTCTTTTTTCTTTTTTGATTGAATGCTTTACTTAAATTCATTTTTAAATTCTTCATGTCCCCATTTTAGTTTTTTTTTTATTTTTTTTTTTTTTCATTTTTAATTATTTTTGCATTAATTTTCTTTTAGTATTTAGTCTTTACTATTGAATAGACAAGTCAATTCTGATTTTAATTCTTTAGTTTTTCTACCATGCCTTCAACAATTAATCTTTTCACAAAATTAAGCCTCATACATCAGAAATTTATAAACCATCTTCAGATTTCACTAAAGTGTAAACATAAATTTTGATTCCCAATTTATTCAGATTAAATTTAATCAAAACCATCCATTCGTGTTTCAGAAATTCTCTTGAACTGCAAACTAGACTTGCTTTAATCCATCACAATGGATACATGACGATAATTATTCAAAATTGAATCCGAACGTTATGAGATTCATCTGAAGTCCAGTATTTAAAGGCAAATTCCTGAGAACAACCCTTAACTCTTAAAAACTTAAACAATGTTTAACGGCAAATTCTTCGAGATGTTAGATAATTATGTGACGTTTCCAGAGCGGGACATTTTTCTTTCCTCTTTTCAATAAAAATTATCCTAATTTTGCAGTCCCTTTTCTGAAATATTTAAATTTTGTCTTGAGAAATCTAAATCATAAAAAGGCTTCAAACTGTCATAAGGCTTCAAACTCTTATTAATCACCTTTGCATGCATCGTTTCATAACAGGTTAGATCCAAAGCTTTCCCACATGTTCGAAGATGGAGGCTGCTCTGCATATTTTTACCCACATTTTGAATCATGAAAATTACCAATTATTGTATGGCATTTGGTTTGCTTTGGGAGAATAAACTAGTTCCAGTCTCCTAACAGACGTAAAGCGAATCACCGCTGAAGTCACTACAGAGACTTGAAAAGGCATAAACAAATTTATTATTTTTATAGATTTAGAACATAAATTCATGTCTTGTGCTAACAGAATGAATCACTACTTGTGGAATGTAAAAGTAACTGGTGACAGGTGAAAATGTGGCGGGAAATCAGAATTTCGCTAAGAAATTTTACAGATATTGTCCCTTCACAATAACTGTCTGGAGGAAAGACGCTTCCAGAATTCTTGCGAGCACCATGTTGGGCAAAACGTGAAATCTTGAAGTGTTTGGTGCTTAAACTGGTTATTTATTGAATGAGACCGCGTTCCGATATTTTTATGAATCACAGTTATGATCATAAATACTCAGTTATATACAGGAGTACCTCTATTGGCATTAATGATTCAATCTTGTAGAAGACTTAACGTAACTCTGATGTAACATCAAAACTACTGCTTAGGTTGGAAACATATGCAATTATGTTCATTTCAAAGGGAAAGGTTGCAATAATAGATTAAAAAATATTTTGATACATGACGATGTAACTTGACAAACATTACCTGAGTTATTGAACTCGCCTATTGTATATATAATGCAGCTAATTCATAATATATATTTTACATAAAATCAGGAAGTAGTAGTAAAAATACTACTACTTCCTGATTACTTTAAACATGATTAATTTTCCTACTACTGATACTTAAGAATGATACCTTAAATTAAAACTATACGCAAAATGAAAAATACAGATTCCTTACTGGGATTCAGTTTTGATCATTTCAGGAACATATTACAGGGATTGGTGTTGCCGTTTTGTAAAATTATTTTATCGTGCTATTTGGATGTACAGTGAACCGAATTGTTTGGTATTACTTAATCTTGGTATAGGGTTCTTAATTACGATGCATTGTTCATGAGTTTTTAAGTTCATTAATCAGTTTCCAGTTCGTCGAGATCATATTTATTATTGAAGTATGTAGGTTCCATTCTTGTTGTTTTTCTAAGAAATGTCTCATTACTTCGAGGTATCGAGAGAAGTTTGACAAATTTCTGATCCATATAAATTAACTTTATCTATTAGTTTTCATTTTAAAGCTGCGTTGTGCGATTAGAATACTTTTAAATGCTGGGATGATTGAAGATGGCTGGCTTAGGTTAATGTTTTAACTTTTTTTGTTATTGAGTTGACGTTTGGGTAAAAGGCATAGACTCTGCGTTCTGTGATGGCATTTTTCTTTTCCTGCAGCCAGATATGGAGAGTTGATTTATTATAAAGTTTCGAAAATGAGATTTTGGGAGTTTCACTGATAAGGGAGTTCCCTTGGGGTTTGGGCGGCATTCTTGACCACTTTATTTGCCTGATCGTTACCCGCATTATTACTATGGCCTACGATATGAGGGATGGTGATGCTGGAGTTGGGTAAATTATTGGATGATTGATTGCTTTCAAATGGAATAAGGAATGACTTATCTGGATTTAATATGGAAAATATAGCAGCTTGGCTGTAGAATGCTATACTCAGAGTTTGTACACTATAAAAATTGGAGAGTTAAAGAGGGGTGGTGCCAACAAGAGTATTGAATGCTGCTTTTGACGTTGTGCGGTAGCCGCAAGTGTTGTACAGGCTGCATTGTCTGTGAACGGAAGTTAGGATTATCTCTTTCATTTTCTTTATAGAAAGGACCCATATGGCGGCTTCGATTGTTACCATTTTCACTATCACTGTCAGGAAGAAGATTTTGACCATGTGTCGGTTGAGGCTCCAGTTATATCCATGGAATCTGTCGAGGTAGATGCCAGTTTGGTATGTTCTGACTTGGTATTTCGGCTCGGAGAGTTGATGTTTACATTTTGCACATAGATTGTGTTGAATTCGGTTAGTGTTTCCCTGCAATTCCTTTCAAGAAAATCTCGAATCCATCCTTTTACCACAAATGCAACGTTTTCGTCGAAAGCTGTAATGGAGGAGTGTGCTGGCCATCTATGGTTGATAATGGGATATAATGTTTTGTTTCAGAGGTCTGCATTCATGAAGGACCCCTGGAGGCAACCTCTTGATTATTTGAGGAAGATGACGGTGTCGTTTTAGTGAATGAAACTCTTTTTATTATTGAGAGAATTCTCGTTAGCAAGATAAAGGCTACTTGAACGTTCTAGGAACTTGAACGTTCTAGTTTCTAGGTTGCTAAGAGCCAGGAGAATTAAAGGCTACCGAAGCGAGTTGGAGATATTCTTCATGTCTAAGCTGAGAACTAGAGAGTGGTATGGGTCAATTTTTTTTCTGACTTCTTTTGAGAATGCTTGAACAGCGTTAATTTTTGAAATCTTCTGTCGGAATCCGAATTATATTTTGTCAATTTTGTAACTATGATGAACGTGAATCTGAATCTTCCTATTATGGCGCATTCTAGAACATTTCCAGCTGCTGAGGGTAGGTTGATGGGTGTATGAATCAGGACTAATTGGTTTCAGGGACAAGATGATTTGTGGCGTTTTAAAGCAGTCGGGGATGCGTGTGGACAAAAAAAATCTTACATATGCGTGTGTGTATTTATTGTAGAGTTTAAGGATGATGTTCTTATTTGTTGCATGCTTTATTATTTTAATGCAGATTCCGTCTGGTCTGGGAGAATATAAAAAGCATACCAAATTCAGATGTCGGCAGCATTTAATGCAAAGGCGAATAATTAAAACCCTATCAAAGCCCCAGGAAGTAGATGGATATCAGGCCTGCGAGAGGATGAAACACGTTATGCCGTATAATTAAAAAATCTCAGCTTAAACACTCTCTGACACTATTTACATTCTGATGAGGAAACGGAAGGAAGTTACAGTAAAGGCTAAAATTTTAAATAACTTATAAAATTAAATAATATTCTTACAAACTGAATACTCAAAATTTGAAATATAGCAATCAGGATATGGCGCGCAAGATCTCCAGACCTTGATGCAGTAGTGCATATATTGGAAATTCAAAACATCTTACATAGGCATTATGATAGATTGGTACTTTACACGATATTTATTATTATGGACTGAAGCAAGTGTGATTTGCAATTTAGAAGATCTTTTGAAACACGACTGGAAAATTTTTAATTAATCTGGGTAGAATAGGTACTCACTTTATTCATGTTTACACTTTGGTGAAAATTGAAGATGATTTGTTGGGTGTTATTTTGATGATCTTGTTTATAACTAATACATCTGATGTTTTTAAAACGATCAATGATTTTTATCTACCTTGCGGTACAATTGCATCTGCCTTGCGTTGCTGTCTGTGTCGTTGGTGTAATTTCCGTCATTGTAAATTTATTTCGTTATTTGGCGTAATTTAACTTTGCACCGCAGGGTCATCGAAAGTTCAGTTAAGCATATATTGAAATTATCAAGAGAACAGAAATTGAGGAAGCCGTCAAGATTAAGGTGTCTTAAGACGTTGTTAGCATTTTTGTCTCTGATTAATTAATAAGATATTCAGCAGTTAAAAAACTATATGTGTAGTTTACATCTCTATTTGCTAGATTTATTTACAAAAATATTATATGGCTTGCCAATGTATAGACTTTAATTTTTACAATTTATATAATTTGTTGATTCATTATATGGCCTTATAAAGCTTTATTTCAACAAATACAAGTCATTCACATATTCATAGAAGCACATATGTTTATACAAATCTTTTAGTTCGATGGATTTAAAAGATGAAGAAAATATATTTTAGAATCCGTAGATATTTTTTATACGTTAAAATTATTATCCTCTAAAATTAGAAACGGAAAACAGTTTAATTTTTAAAATAAAATGTATAAATGATGTTCTGTAATAAAAGCTGAAAATGAAACCAAAGGAAAAAATTTGTAACTTGTTCACGAACGTAGAAAGATAAAAATTCATCTTATTTTCATATATAGGAATAATTATTTATTTGTGAACTACATTCTTTCAGTTACCAATTCCTTTGAGATATTTTTAGAAAACCTTCGAACCAAGAGCAGAAATCATATAGGACAGAATGTGTATGAGAATCCAATATACAGTCAATAGCTTTACTGACTACATTATTGTAAGCATGAAATTTTTAACTACTTATAAATCAGGTTTAAGTATAAGACAGGGCAGCATCTGAAACGAATAGAATCGAAAGAAGAAAATTATAATAGTGAAAATAGTTTCAAATAAAGCATTGTTTTTATTAATAGCTGTGACTATGTCTAAAGAAGAGAAAATACTGATACAATAAACAGTTCTCAAGATGATATATATATTAATCAATGAATTTGCTCCGAGGAACCTTTTCAAAACTTTTTGATTTCCAAATTATTTATGTAAATACATGCGTTTTTTTTCTTAACATTTTCAACATATGACTAATTAACTTCATAATTATCAGTCAAATAAATTTATCTGATAACTGAATCTAGTCATAAACAGTATTGGAAACGGTTGTCATAAACCTGAGTACAATCCAAGTTAAATCTCACAAAAGCTACAAGAAGAAAACACGGATTAATAATTCATATCTTGTGAAACAGTGCTACATTTATACCTCTTATTTGAGAGGCCTGTAGCTGCAATACAGAGATATGACAAATATTTCTGTGACCAGAAAAAACATTGAAAAGTTTTATAAGTAATGAAGACATGTTTAATTTTCGGAATGCATTACGATAACAAGAAGATTTGTTCCGGAATATTATCAACATTTTTGTTGCCTTAGTTTCATGTCCTGGTAGTCGAAATAGCAGAACCACAATTCTAAACCTAATGATCATTCATTCATCTGATTATCTGAAGATAATTACTAGCTGTATTGGTTGTAACGGAGCAGTGACATGCGAAGTAAATGTTAGTTTAAGTATGATATGCAATGATGATCCTACAAATGAATGTCAATGCACGTGGAGATAGACACTCCTGACAGAAAATCAATAGATACAGATGTATTTGCCCGTTACGAAATAAGCCATAAAGTACAAATTCTAATCAGTGTGGGTGTCATTGCGTTTCCCTATTAGATGATTAGATCTGTATATGGAAAACAAAATAAAAGACGTTTTGAGAGAATGTTCTCTTTTAAAAATAAATTACTCAGGAAATAAGTTATATTTCTATAAGAATATTATTCAGGAGCATTAAATAGAGAAATATATTCAAAACTCTCTAATGTTTTTACGTTGTAATCTATTAAGAAAAATGCCTTATTTACAAAAAAACGGACATAGTCAGAAATATTTAGGAAAAAAAAAGCTCTCAGAAATTGCTCCAATCTTCTTAACTAGATAAATATGAATCTACTAAATTTAGAACTCTTTGAAGCACATAGCAATTTTTATGAAAATCTAAGACTTTGATAGAAATCCATTAAATGTATAATATTCCGTAGCTTCAAAATGTTTGTTTGTTCTTCAGTTCTGAATTTATGCTATTATATCCTGAATGCATGCAGGCTTTAATTTATGATCCACTGCGCGAAAAAGCATTAATTTTTTTATACTTTATATTGTACCAGTGATTAAAATAACTTACTTAGAATTCTAATACATCATAGAATTTTTAAGAACTGACTCGCTTTGAAACGTGCTACAGACGTTTTAAATGTAAAATAATTTTTCTAAATAATATTATCAAAGTGGATGTACTACTGTGTAGCAGAAGTACTTTATGACGACGTAGCATTAAACAAACGTAAAATATGCTGTATTTGTTCATTAGCATATAGGCTACTCTACCTCAAAGCCAATGGCATCAGTTTCATTTACCTTGCTGTTACATACCATAGCTATATAGGTCTTTACGGGGCTTTTATTTTCGCAAACGTTGGTCACAATTATACAGTTTCGATGAGATAAATATTTTAAATATATAATATCTATAATAATAAATAAGAAAAATATGCATCTCAATGGAACGTTTAAATTGAAACAAAATTGTAAAAATTCATATAATTGTCATTTATATGGGACTACGATCCCTACAGTTATATTCAGTAAAAATATATACTTATTCTAAATTATAAAACGAAAAATGTTTGACTGCCATAGGATGGGAACTGAATGATATATTTAACTTTAAATGTTGAGATATAATTCAGGGGCCTTACATTTTTAGAATTTAAGAGATTAAGTAACGGGATTTATTATGCAAACTGTCCAGAAAGCTTTTGATCAAACAAATTTTTCGAAAACGAAACTCTTCTTTAGAGAACTCACACAATTTGCATTTTGTAAAATAGTGGTGGTCTTAATCAATTTATAAATTTACTTGTATAAATTGAAGAACAGATATTTCTAGTCCAGTCAATTTTGTAGCATTATTAGTAAGCTGATGAGCACTTACCAGTGAACAAGCTATCCGTCGACGGCGAAATGAAATGAATAAAATGTATGGTTATCATATTTTGATTCTAAAGTAACAGAATTGCTTGTGAATATTATTGTAAAGTCATGTATTCTTTACTAACATGGCATACGCGGCTTTGAAAGACGGTTAGTGAATTATCACTAAGACTTTTAAAGTATTACAAAGTCAGGAGAAGGGTATAGAACCCTTTATTAACTAGAATAAATTTTAACTGTCAGCACAAACTTGTGCTTACGAAAGCCAACACTTTTGGATTAAATCAAAAGGTAACAGATAAACTTAAAATTGAATAAATATAGCCTAACGGCTTCTCAGTTTAACTATCGCGCAAACTGGCTCTGACTCGAAATCGGTGGAAACAAGACTGATGGAAAGTACAATTCAATGTCACAGAATTCTAATCGCTAGAGCACCAAAGTTGGTAACGTAACCTTCAAGCAGGCA